CCACTCTGTTCCTACCCTGCTAAACAGAAAGGAATACTAAAACGGCACATTCGCTCTCACACAGGTGAGAGACCCTACCCCTGTGAGACATGTGGGAAACGTTTCACTCGGCAGGAACACCTTCGGAGTCATGCTTTAAGTGTAAGTTTGAAAGACGATATGTATTAGGAGATGTAAAAAAAACACAGGGTCTTTGTTTTTTCGCAGTCATTGTTCTCTCCTAGGTAAAAATATTCGTTATATTTCAAATTAAGGCTGCTTTAAAATACATTGGACAAAATGCTTGCTGCCGCTGCGTGAGATGAACTTTGACAATAAGAAGTTTAAGCATCTGCCCTATAGCTTAAGTGTAGATGTCTTCCTGTTGTAGGAATATATGCAAACTAGCCCCCTGGAGAAAGCTAAGGCAAGAGGACAGATTGAGATTTTACTGTGACGTTTTATTTTTAACTTCAGGTGCATCGATCAAACAAACCAATTATCTGCAAAGGTTGCAGAAGAACATTCACGAGTAGCATGTCTCAAGGATTACGACGCTTTGGCTTGTGTGACAGCTGCACGTGTGTGACCACTACGCATGAGGACTCAATGCCCATTAACCTCAGCCTAATGGAACCTTCCTCAGAAGGCCAAGAGAAAGGGGATACAGATAATGATTGGCCCATATATGTGGAGTCTGGAGAGGAAAACGATCCAGCTGATGATGATGATGCCGATGGTGATGATAAGCAGGAAATCCACAGGAGCTTATCAGACCGAGAAACACTTATGTAGCAGTGAGAGGAGAGTGGGAGGATTTAAAGCGTCTCCCTGACGGTGGTCAGTCTGCAACAGAAAACTGGGTATTTGTCCAGTTAGTGAGACTACTGTTTTTTATCATTCCATTTTTTTAAAAGAACAGTGGGGAGAATTGGAATTTTTATTACTTCTAAGTTTTCAGTAGGGTGATCCAGTATTCTGTGGAGACTCTTCTGTCTGGGGTTCACAGAGGTTGTACTCGGAACAATCTCCCATTGTGTCTCTGCATCCCAGTTTGAAGGTAGAGACAGCACATTTTGCAAGTGGAACATCTCTGTGTTACTTTGATACCAGGTTTCTTCCAGTACTGTTGTCGTGGCCCTTCATCCCTGATCTCAAACAGGCATGGTCTTCTCTCTGAAAGGAGATGTAGATTAAAAGAAAGGTAGTTTTCATCTGTTACCTTGGACTTTTCCTAACTAAGTTGTGATCCTTCTGTGTTAGGATAGTATTATCTAAACTGTAAACCTTGTCTGTTTGCTTAGACAGGATTTGACCTGGAAACCAGGGTAGACCAACCAGGCTAACAAAAATATGCTGCTAATGAAGGTATGGACAGTAAGAATAAATATATTTCACATATCTTCAATTATAGGGATTTAGAGAGCAAGCTTCTCTTTCTGAATTGTTTTCACTGCATCTGCCTCTCTCAAGAGCTTGGACTGCAGGTCTTCGGATGTGTCTTTAATGACGTTTAGACAACGCTAGATCTGGCTTGAGAAACACTAAGCACACTTAAGATGTTACAACATTATGGTGTCTAATGCTCTGGTCGCTCAGTTGAGAATAAGTGAACTGCCCGATGCTCTTCGCTTTTTTTACAGTAGAAGTTAAAATCTGTCAATCAGGTAACTTAGAAATTCTAATTCTAATAAGTTAAATATCCAGAATCACAGGTGATGTAGCTGAGGAGCAGTTAAATACAAATATCTGAGCTATGCATTATGAAACAGCTCTGTATACCTCTTTGAAGCAATTAGGTGGGAAATCTCAGAAATTTGTGCTAGCTTCTTTGTGTGCAAATCCTTTTCTTTTTCTCTTACTATATTTTCTTTTAGTCTTTGGCAGTCTTCCTCATGGTTTACGTTGTCGTGCAAATTTTTCCAAGTATCTTTTTGTTAAAACTCCAGTGTGGACCTCCTGTTTCGCTGCTAGGATAGATAAAGGTTGGCTTTCAAAGGAGGTGAGGTAATGTTACCTTTTCAGTACCACATTGATATAAGCTATGAAAATCAAGCTGGGAAGCTTTAGAAGAAAACACATCACCAACAGAAAGCCTATTTGTTCATGGGTAACCTACTGTTTCCTAATGAAGAGACAATATTGAAAGATGATGTGAAGTAAGACTGTATAGAGTTAATGCTTCTTTGTTATAAGTGTTTAATGTAAAGGCAGATTGTATGTGAGTTTTTCTAGCTGGAGTTAAGTGCTGGATTAGAGAAGACTGTAGCCAGACATGGCTGGCAAAGAATAAGTTCCTCTGACTTAACTAGACAGTATTTCTTGAGGTTTTAAAGAAATACTTTACAGTGGAGAAACATAAGATGAAACCTGGGGGAAAAAAAAGCCCTCTGATTTAACCAGTTATTTTTGTATATCTTGTGCTTTTATTTCACATACTGAATGAGAACAGTTCAGCTTCTCTATCTGCTTCGTTCCACAGTGAGGCAATCCTGTTGCGATGTCACAATTTACTTGTACAGAAGTGATTCTGATATCACAAAGGCAGTTAATAATTCATTGTCAGATCAAGTAGGGTAAGGAAAGAATAAATAAGCTCCTTTTCAAACAAGTCACTTTTTTGCTACTCTACTAATGATTCCTAAAAGTAGCAGAAGGTAAATAGACTTGTTTTGAAATGTCTCTCTAGATCTAAGTTCTTGGTAAGTGCCACCTTCTCAGGTCGATACTGGCATCACTTGCTGAGTTTATTTTCTGAAACTTAAATTGAGCGAGCAACACATCCCCTTTATGATCTGCTACTTATAGCTGCATTCTGAGTTCTAAAACGTTCAGTAGCCCCTATTCCATATTATTTTTAAATTGGGAGTTTGTAATAGCTGAACGGTATCATAGTGAAACCGGAATAGAAAAAAAGCATTGAGGCAAAGTTTTCAAAAAGAAATTCAGGACTCTGTAGTCCCTGTTTTAGTCAGCTAAATAAAAACCTTCAAAAAGACAGCTCATGTAGGTGCCAGATTTGGAGCAGAGCTCTTTTGAAAATCCTACTGTAATTTTGGGTGCCAAGCACTTTTGAATGTCAGCACAAAAGGTGGGCTTCTAAATCATGTAGGCATGTCTGAAAATCCTCCCTCTAGCTCACTGGGATTGCTCTTTTGGACTACTCTATTTTTGTTGAGCCAGTCCAACTTCAGAGGGTATTTTTTTGGTATTTGACTATCTGATAAAGGAAGGACTTCTGTGTGTGAGAACACCTGAAAAGGAGTCATGATGTCTGTGATTGCTGGGAGATTAACTGGCGTAATGAAAGTGGGGTAGGAATGTGAATAGGGATCCAAAATGGTATTTAGTGACCAGGCATCCCAATCTTTGGTCAGTCTAGCAGGAGGATGCCATCTCATTGTAAATATTGTAGAGGCCACTAGACATGGAGTATCAGTTGGGCATGGTGCTGGCTAGCGCGCTACAATTAAATTGTCAGATGATTTAGGTTACCACACTGTTGAACTGTGCTGAGGTGCAGACTAACTAACTCTGAAACTGTGAAGACACTCAGAGAAGGGAAAATGAAACTCTTGTGAAAGTCTGTATGTAATAGAGTTAAGAGCTGCAGGAAAGCCTGCAGAGACCTTCAGCAATTTTACTTCAACCTGCTTTGTTTGGTCTTAGAGATTATTGTTGTGTGTCTTGTGCATAGAGAATGGAGCTGTGTTAACTTTTGTGTAACAGGGGGTAAGGGGTGGGTGGGGGAGGCATTACGTTCACATTTCACATTGAATGTGACCACTAAAATTGATGTTTCCTGTTGATCTGCCATATTGTGCTACTTTGTTTTCAGTGGAGTCCTTCAGCCTTTGTATTTAGTAGAAGAGGGTGTTATTTATCCACTTCCTTGTGACCAGATGTTCATGTAAATGTTTGCTGTGCTTTCCACCTAGTTTTTTGATGTTTTTCTTGAAATCTTCCATTGTAAATCCAGCCTCTACAAGCTTTGAGAAAATGATGTGGCTGTTTTAAAAGGTTCATATGGTGCTTAATGAAGAATCAGAAATAATGTTTTTAGAAAACTTATTTATAATATAATCTCTTTCTCAAAGTTTTTAAAAGGCCACGCAGACTGCATATCTTAAAGTCTTAGCTCGACGTAATCCACTTTGTTAAGGAATATACATGTTAATATACTTTTGCACATAATTGCACTGTATTTCACTAATGGAATACGTGCTGCGTTGGTATTAACAGTGCATTTAACCTCTTGGTGCAAGACCTTGTAAATCTTCCAAATGTGGTCATTTAATTTTCTGATGTTTTGTAAGGCAGTTTCATAACTGGAGTCCTTTAGTCTAGTTTAAATGACAAATTCTTATAACTGAAACCTTATTTGTGGAAGTGACTTAACTATAATCGTGGATCTTGGAGCGCTTGGGAGGTTTTTGATTGTCTAGAAAATAAAAATACTCTGAGAGGGTAGCTTTGATTTATTTTTTATTTTTTAAAAAAACAATCACAAGGTTGACTAAGACCTAGATTAAGTCTCACGTTTAAATTTCCAGGAACTAAAAATGAATATAGCCGTTGTTAGCACAAGACATCATGCAAGCAAAAATCAAATTTATTTTAGATTAAAAGGATGCTGTCAACTTAAAATCTAGCCAGTTGGGAGGTTTTTGTTGTTTTATTTTTTTAATAAATTATTTTATATTATTAACACTAACTTTGTTTCCCTACCAGTTTTTGTAGCTTTCTAATCATTTTAACTTTTTAAACTCTTCTTTAAAGCTTTCCCTTTTTTTATGCTGTGGGAAAAAATCCAAACAACTGGGAAGCAGTCACTGATGTTGGCCAGAAGAAAATGTTGTCAAATACCTACAATAAAATACCTGGAAAAAAGGGAAAAAAATCCTAGATCACTCTGCAATGATAGTGGATATTTCACAGCGGAACTTTTTTTTTAAGCCTGCTTTTACAGAATATATTTAAAACCTCTATTTATCTGTTGACTTAGAATATCTTGAATCAATGGAAAATATAATAAACTACACTTTCTTTTCACTGTTTTCTTTTAAACAGTGAAATCTGTTCGTTTTTACTTTATTGGGGATCTTTATGTTAATATTTTTGTGTTTCAGAAGTGCCTGAGAAGTATTCCTATTTCCAAACCTGTTTACTGTTGAACTTTTTAAGTCATTAAAACCTTTCCATTAGAATTAAAGGTAATGTTTATAAAAATGAATTTTTTGGATCCAACTTATATTGACAATGCTTTCTGCCCTTCAATGTGCACACACAAATTGTATTTATTCTCTTAAAGCCTATTGTTAATATTATACCAACCAAATAATTGAAGAAAGCCTGGGGTTTTTTGCCTGTTGTCAGATTGTTTAACATTCAAATTTTCTATATGTCTGGAATTAGCGTTAACGTGTATTAGAATCTAAAGAACATTATTTGTTAAAACCTTTCCAATGTCTCCTTTAGGCACGTGCTTGTGTATGCCCGCACAGAGTTGCTTGTAGGTTTGGAGCTATTGCCACCATGTCGTCATCTCTGCCTTGTAGGTCAATTGTGCATTTTTGGTAAAACAGAATCCTGACGTACAACAGCTTCCTTGTTTTCTATTAAATGTTTGTGGGCAGAAATCTAGATGCTAGTAAACTAATAAATAAATAAATAAATGAAAACTCTCAGAACAATAAGTACTGTACACAGCAATTTTAAATGCCATCCCAAAATTTCCAAAGGCAATATGCCAGACTTCAAACTTTGCACTGCCAATCAAGATGCAAAATATTTTATTTGAAATGATCTATGAAAATATATGACTCTGTACTTCTTACATGCTGTTAGCATAACTAGCTCAGTCTGCGGTCTTGTAAAGGCTTAGACACACGTGATTGATCCCACTGATCATGAGACTAGTCACTAGGGTAAAATTTAAGCATACGTTAAAAGTTTTGCAGAATTAGAAACCAAACCAGATCTTAGAAATTACTTAAGTTCTTCAATGGCAAGGCTTGTGTTGCACTTCCTTTTTAGCTGCTGGTATTCTTTTCAGGTTAGAGGGGAATTACGTGAACGCTAATTTAATTTTAGAGCCAATGACTGTGCTACTGCTTTTTCAAATTCTGTGTCATTTTTCAATTGTTAATGACTAAGATATGGGAGCTTTGACCCAGAGCAGTGTGTATTGTTCAAACGAAATTAAGAAGCTTGCTTTGTAATTGTTTTATTGTTATAATTGTTTGTATTTTTTTAATACTAGAAAGACATCTTTTATTGGTAGATAGATAATGTGACAGCTATTTCTAATTATGAAAATTTTTGAATACCTCAGTATCGGGAGAATTGGAGGATTCTTCTGTCCACCTGTATTAAACTAAAAACGAGAATACTCACTAAACTAAACAATAGTTAATACTCTGAGTTTGGAGAGACCCCCTGATTTTAGAGCATTCTTATTTTAGATGTCATACAGATGGATTTATGGCTAGATTCAAGGGCCTTCATAAATCTCAACACCCATTCCAGGATCTGTCCATGTGAAAGCCAGTACAGTAATAGCACTGTATTTTATAAACAAGATTCTGTATGTTTACAGTAAAGGGCGTTTTTCATTTTCATTATTCATTTTGTTAATGCAGTGTCTCCAGGCAGTTGGTTAGTCTGATCAAAAGTATATTGTCCTAAAATACTAACTGGTACAAATAACGTTTTCTTTTGTACCATCTGAATCTGATGCATGTGAAATTCAGTTATCCCTGCTTTCTTTAAAGGTCTATCTTCTTTTATATTTTTCAGTTTTAACTCTTTGTTTAGCAAACTTGTAAATGTAGGAGAAATATGACTTTAAGTATCCCAGTACAGGCAAAATAAGGGCACTAAAAACCAAAAAAACCCCATAGTATCCAATAGTAACATTATTTTGGTGAGAAAGAGAAGTGCTAGGGAGTGAAAGAAGGGACTGACAACCAATTTTTTATGCTCTTGATTCCATAAGAATTTAGGACCAATAATTCTGTGTGGGAAAAAGATCATGTAAAGTTCTAAATCTGGGATCTTTTTAGTATTTTACAAAAGATAACTTTGCAGTATTTAGACAATTCAGAGTACACTCCATGTAGGAAGTGCTAACCCAGCAGACTTTTCCAGATTGAATAGCTGGACAGTTTCCACCAATCAGTAAGTAATACAGAAGTTGCACTGATGTTTTATCTGGAGCTGCCTGATTTACAAGTATATCCGTCCTGATGTTGGGATGTCTGTGTGTGTATGTATTCAGGTGGAAGAGAGAAAAGAATAAATAAAACCAAAGTTGAGAATTAATGTGCATCACCATCATATAGGCAATTTACCCTTTTAAGGGGTAGGGATCCAATCTTTTAAGTGCTTTTTGTAAGTTTTTTTTCTACAGTGGTGCATTACTGAATTTGTCTTTATTGTACGTTAAATTGTACATGTACTATATATGTTTATATCATTGTATGTAGTCTTGTTCTTTTATAGTTAAAGAACAGAAAACATTAAATATTAATCTAACAATAAGTGCCCTTTTTTCCATTTCTCACAGAAAGGGAAGATACTGGAGTTAGACATCTTGGTAGTAATTTTTTTTTATCTAGGGATGTACCTTAGCACAGATTTGGCGGGGTTATTTTAGGGGAAGGGGAAGAGACCTGGATTCAGCAAGGATGTGTGGATAAATTCATAGAACCATTTCTATAGTTTTGTCAAACTCTGTACTTTTTCACAGGTGGTAAACATAATGTTTAGAACGTAGCCTACTCAACTAAGGTTTGGCATACTGGCACTTAGAAGATTCTTCCCGATATTTAACAGATTAGGACAAGATACAATAATTTCCTTTTCATCCTGAAATGACACTGATTCTGATAAATCACAGAGCTGTGACGTTTCGCACAATAAAAAGTCACTTATGTGCTCTTGTATTGCAAATATTTTTTACTTAAATTTTCACAGATCCACCAGGCTTACAAGCCAACACACAGAAAGTGCAAGTGTCCTATGACCCTGACAGGACAGGTAGAGCAAGAAGGGACAAAGCGTTACAGACTCTGTAATGAGTGTCTGGATGAACCTGGTATAGAAAGTATTTTTACTGACCTGGAGGCTGAACAAACATTCGTGTTCGTACTAGAAGACAACAAGGGTGCTAGCTAGGGATCTTAGTGAAGACCGCAGAGCTAAAGAAATCCTGTATGAGTATACTGCCTTTGTCATGCAGAAAGCTAATGAAAGTGAAGATGATGCCAAGACAAAAGAACTAAAGCCAAAAGCCAAGTATCAGCTGGCAGTGTCTTACATGACAATAATAACCTCATCCTTAAACTCATTTCTGGTGTCTTGCTCATAGTTCTCCTATCTCCAGACCATGTCTACTTAACTTTTAAAAAGCTCTTTCATGACGACTGTGCTATGTTCTTCTGCATACTCTGTGTTCCTCAAGGCATCAGGCCCCATAATACAGAAAAATATCCTGAGATGGAGTGATGAACAACTCACCTACGAACTACTACAGAAGTGTATTTTTGTGTGACACAAGTTTTCTCAAAAGTTTTCAAATAAAAAATGTTCACTGAGAATTACTTTTCCTTCAAGCAGTATAGCACTATTTTAAAAGCATTAATTTCTGCAAGAATGTGGATTATAATTCCTGTTGTTCAGACTCTGTCATTATATTAATTTTACATCAGAAAAAAAAAAAAAAACGCAACTAATTAATTCCCCAAGCATGGTACATTTCTGATCCAGTGGAAAAGACTGGCGACTGTTTCTTCCACGGCGAGAAGAGGAAAGGAATTGTGTTGCTTTAGCCCAAGGCTGTTTGTAATTTTACTTATGCTATCATAATTTAAAAATAAATTTAAAATAAAAACAACTGGTAAATGCATTTTACTTCATTCACGTATTTGAGAAAAATTCGTTACAACTCCAACAAACTAATCCTGTGAATCAATGCATGCCAGTTTTCGACTCTACAGTACTTCAGTTGTACTCTCTTGAATTTTCTTTGGCATGAAGTATCACAATATATTTAAAGACAGAAAACATACCATAACTGAAATTATGATTTCTCAGAAATGATATTTTTAAGGGAAATAAATCTTTTAATTGGTGCTACTGTTAATTATACTTGGCTACCAAAACCTAAATAAGCCAATGCAAAATTTATGTTAATAATTTTCATATTGGCATTAACAAAGAAGGTGATTTTTTTAAAGTCTTGTTTGTACGTTGCTCCCTAAAAGGCACACTGTCAATCTTTCATTTGAAACAATCTCACGTTGCTGTGAGAAGCATGTCCTTTGCATAGCTGCCAAGTTTATTCCCATTGGATAGGCTCCCAAAGCAATATCTCATCTTCAAGTGGAGCTTCCTTGGCCAGGAAGAGTAACTCAAAAATTTAGAAATACTAAACAAAGCACTAGAGTAAGTAACTAAATACACCTCTAGAATCAGTGTATTGTTTGTGACGTATTATTGCGCAAAACAGGATGAAGTTAGTCCCTATGGATGAGAAAACCAATAGTCAGTTCCATGGCTGCTCCTAGCAGCAGTGAGTAGAGCCTGGGCAAGGTTATTGAAGTACTCTGAGCAAAGCACTTGCAACCTCTGTGGAAATTCTGATTGAAACTACTCTAGATCTTGCTGCATTTTTTCTACTTTTTAAATTCTGTTAGTCTGATCCTAATAGATGGAGAACCCTTCAGCTCCCACTGGTATTGGTACAAACTGCCATGCTCAGCTCTTACAAGCGAGAGTACAAATTATCTGAAACCTCAGCTAAGTGACATAGAACAACATATGCCCACAAATAGTTTGTTTCAGAAGGAAGTTTTCAGCAGATGAAATATCTTGGGCATGGATTTGAAAAAATGTGTAGGTTGTTACATAAAAAGAGGTGCTACTTAGTTGAATTTGCAGGCACTATCAAACTTTAGAGGAATGAATTCAAGCACTATAAAAGTCTAGTACTGCAAATAAAAAATCTTGTTTAAAGATTTATAATAAATTTAAGTATACTACTACAGGTTCCGGTTTTTGTTTCTGACAGAGTTTAATCTTAGTATTCTCACACAGCATTGCTAAGTTCCTGTAACACATGCAATGCTTTTTTTGTGGATAGTATGGAAAAGACTTAAGGTCCAAGGACTCAACTCTGTTTAGCGTGGTCAACCTCTGTGCTTGTGCATAAATCTCCATAGAAATCAGCAAGTATCAAAGAGACAGTGATCTGCGTTGGCAGAACAATTTGCATAGCGGTGAGATGTACAGAAGACTAGGAAAAAAAGACTACGTTCAAAGAAAACTTGCTAACTGCTCATTAATATCCTAAAAATTGAAAATAAATATATTTGTTGAAGATGGAGTTTTGTTTATGGAAGGATTATCTGGATTGACAGACTCTAAATTTAACTTACTCCTGACTTTAGTGACATTGCTAGATGTCTCACAACTTAAATGTTGACAGAAATTTACCCTTGGAATAAAGCCATCTGTAAGAGGGCATCTTGTTATTCAAACTGGCCACTCAAAAGCAGATAATAGGGATACGCCATATTGCTACCCTTTGTGCTGCTACCTACAGAAACAAGCAAATTTTCACAATATTTGCTTGCTGAAATACCAGCACTTAGAGACACTTTCTAAATAGGATTTACCAGTAGCTGTACAACAGAATCGAAGACTGTGACTATTAGGAGGGCTTTTAATAGATATTCCTCATTTTTACTCCTTTCAAATAAAAGGGGTAGAAGTGCATATTTGTTTATTTCTGTAACTAACATGTCTAAAATCAGGTGAATTCACTGTTTAGAGATCTAAAGGAAATTACTATGAACTACTTAAGGTCAAAAAGTGTTGTTCAGCCAATTTGCAAAGACGTTCATTTGTCCTGAAAGACAGTCAGCAGTGGTAGAAACTTGATGGTTCCTTCACCATTCTTACAGCTGGACTTTTTCCTGACGCAGAGGAGCCAACTTGGCTCCTCCTGTTTATATAATTCATTGCAGTGGCGGTTTCTCTCATTGCCTGTATTGACTTGCTTTGGACTACAGGTAAATGTGTTACATGCCAGGAGAGCCACTCTAAATTCAACTTATTTCAGTGCAGAAAGGAATCATGACCAAAGACATGGTGTTTGATTCTGGTATTCTCCAGCCTTGACAAGAAACATCTGCTGCCACAGACTAAAGCAAACGCAAATACAACATGTCTGCAAAGGCACACTGGAGAAAAGCAAAGCACATACTAAACAAATCTCACAGTAGTTTGTATGTAGTATTTACTGGGATACAAATAAACTTCATCCAAGGCTGAAAAATTATAAAGTTGGCATGAGAAGAGGCCAATGCACACACGACATGTCCACAACTTTCAGGCATGACATGATAAGGTCTTCTGTGGCTTGCAGAAAGGAATATCGTATGCGTTATGAGTGAACGCAGTATGAATAAAATGTGAAAGATTGTTTTGTCCTGTCTTTCCTTTTTCTGTCTGTTTGCTTATGGCTACAGCCTCTTTCCTTTCTTGTCCAAATTCCTTTTGCTTCTTTGGGAGAAATCAGTTAGATAATGCCAGCCCCATAGCCATCTGACAACTAGGATGGATGACGTTTAAGACTAACAAAGCATAGACCAAATACCATGAGAACATTTTGCCTTATTTTCTAAAAAGATTTTAATATGTATGACAGCAATGATAAGAATATTGCCTAAGAACTGGGACAGGGCACAACAGTATCTGAGATGTAAGTAAAACCTATCCTGCTTGCTTTGCCCAGACTGAGGGAGAGGAAAGGGAACCGACAGTGGAACTGACAAACTCCACCGGACTGAGCACAATTTAGAAAGAATAAGCACAGCTAATTGCAAGTTAGTAGTAGCTAGTAGCCAGTTTCCAGTGGTTCTGTAAATTCAGGGATAGCAGTGTATGAGAATTAACCAAAGGACAGCTGTACCAGCTCATCTAACCCACTATCCTGTTTACAATAGCAGTCAAAAGCAGTTGCTCTGTGGAAGAATATGGCAAGCATACAGCAATACTTTTACCTGACTTTTAACTGTAGGAGGTTTATGACTCGGGGATTTCCTGAGATACAGGACATTTCTGTGAGCAAATATCAGGTCTCTCTCATGAGCTGGTCCAGTATCCCACATAACACTCCAACTTTTCGTGTCCACAACAGCCTGTGGCAAGAACTTCCAGTGTCTAACTACAAGTTATCTGAGGAACCACTTGTGATTTTATAGACTTTCATCTTACCTCATCTGCCTCAATTTTTTTCTGGTTTGGAGATTCCACACAGCATAGACATTTGCACAAAGCTGTTCCAGACCTTTTATCATTTCTCTTTCCCTTTTCAGGCTCCTGTGTATCCTCTTTGAGATGAGTGACACCTGGACTGTACAGAGTATTCAACGTGCAGGTATGCACCACTGAATAATGTAAGAACTGGAAGAAGTTGGGAACTGGGGTTATGCTGAGTTACCCTGAAAGGGGAGTGATGAGGAGGAAGAGAGTTACTAATGGTCCCCTGGACCAGCTTTGGAACCAGTTCAGCTAATACATTATTTAGACTTTGATGTAAAAGTACAATACAATTTTATGACATTTGCAGATGATACAAATTCTAAGGAATTGTCAATACCACGCAAAATGGAATTTACAGGAATTTACAGATTAAAGTCTTTTTGGACTGCACTGACAGAAATGTGGAAAATTTAACAGTACAAAATGCAAAAAGTATGACTTTAGATAGAAGAATACATATTACAAGCTACTGGACACAACCGAAGACTAGAGAGATGTATCCACTGATCACACGATGATTACGAAGTAGTATTGTGACATGGCTGGAAAAGGCTGGTCAGCTGTAGGATACAGCAGATTCAAATGTTTTCAGTTGTCGGAGAATTAATATCATTGTCCAGGGCCCTGAACAGTGTCATGTCAAATACTGTTCAAGCTCTGATCACTTTTATGTTCAAGAATGATTAATTTAAACTGGCAGGTCTTATGAAAGATTTAAGAATGCGGCCTGCATATTAAAGTTTGAAAGGAGATGGAATCCACAAAACGAGGGAAGGTTATTAAAAAGGGTGAATTAAGTTGACAATAAATATTGTTACAACATATATGGATATAAATTGGGTATGACTAAATTTATAGGATATCCTGAGAGAATGTTTTTGACTATGAGAGGAAAGAGTCTGTAGATAACTTTCCCTTTTCCCCACAGTGGGGAAAAGGAACTTAAATTGTTTCAAGATGGAATGTCTTAAGTTTATGGAAGGGAGGGCTAAAAAGGACACAAAGGATATGGTTAAGGCAGAACGGCTCCCATGGGAGAAGAAGTATTTATGAGAAATATCTGGGGTGTCAGAGCACAGAAAATACCCTGGTGGTAAGAACAGGAAAGAGAAAGATTCCAAACTTCAAGTGAGACAAGGTGAGAGGCTTGGGTGGAAGGATTTCAGATATTATGGTTTCTTCAGAAGATAACGGAGACATGCAAAAACAGAGGAACACTACATCTCCTCTTGAGGAAGCCGCAGGCATATGAAGGAAGGATTTGGGTCATCAAGGCCCCTGCTATAGATAAAGGTGTGAGAAGGAAACATCTAGGGCATCACATCCCCTCTTGGGTAGCATGTGGGTGTGAGAGGAGGGAAGCAGCCCAGACTGCAGGGCGATCAGGCAGAGGAAGCTGCTGGGCTGTGCCTGCAATCGGTGCGTTGCCCCTTTAATTGTGTCCCCAGCCCTCGGGCGTCTCTGTCCAACGCCCACGTCAGCAAATACCTTTTGTTTCTCTCACGTTCGGGCTTCCAGGGTTTGGGGCTGCGGGACCAACACATTGCCTTAAACCGCAAAGAGCCCCGACGCGGGGGCCGGGGATCCCGCATCCACCGCCTGCTCCTCTCGGCGAAGCGGCAGCGGCGGCGGCA